GATTCTGTAGCTCAATGTGTACTCCGAAATTTGAATCTGTAAAAGGACAGAAGTAAGAGAGCCGAAGTATACGATTCTGTAGCTCAATGTGTACTCCGAAATTTGAATCTGTAAAAGGACAGAAGTAAGAGAGCCCAAATATACGATTCTGTAGCTCAATGTGTACTCCGAAATTTGAATCTGTAAAAGGACAGAAGTAAGAGAGCCCAAATATACAATTCTGTAGCTCAACATACACTCCGAAACTAGAATCAGTACAAAGTAAAATACTACTACTACTACCAGACCAACATGCCTGATCTTGTCCTTTTTGATAAATCCAATGAAACCATTTAAATCATTGAATTTTCTGTCTCTTTTGACACTAATGTGATTGACAAGAATAAAAAACCGAGGCAGATATGCGGACCTCGCTTTCGAAATGTCACTCTTGTATCACAAGTACCAAGTTGTCCGACTCCCCAATGTTCTCTGTTGACTGTCATTGGGAGAGTTCCCGGGTTTGCTACCAGGAATACAGCCCTTCTGACAATCTTGGTAATGCAGAAGGCAGAAGTGTTGGGCAGTGTTCACATTCTCCGAAAAGTTCTGGTTGGGTACGACTAGGCAGCGCTTCCTGGGAGAAGTCCCATTCGCTGCCTGGGCTACGTGTTGAGCGGGAAAGAGCTTATGATGAGCCTAACCAGCCTGACTGTGCCAGGATCACCCAAACCCTCTTTGCTGTACTTTGTATCTTAATCTGTATGAATATGAATATGAATATGAATGTTGAAGATAAAAGTAGCAATTCACATGACTCACCTGAGGGTGCTGTGAACAGGTGTGTTCTCATGACAAACACGTGTTCGTGTAGACGTGTAAGGTTTACGTCCCGTGAATTAATAGCTCCTAAGAATCCTGGTTTATTTACATACATATGAAGGGATTACATCAGTTCACCTGTGCAGTATATCCCATGCGGTGTGCCACGGCGTTGAGCCTTCTATTTGAAGCTGTGGGGTCTGGCCGGGTTACCCATGTGGTCCTATATACCACCGAGTAGGAGCGCCCGGCTATCTGTGTCGTAACGCATTCCGAGGCATAGGCAACTATATCGTTATATCCATTACTACTTACTTACAGTGTTGAAGTAGGAGTGAGTGTGTGTTCTGTGGTTTAACGCCGTTTTAAGCAGTTTTCTGTCACGGCGGTGAGTTTAATATGGGGTAGAGATGTGAATGAGACCATATTACGCATTTTAAGCAGTTCAGCTCTTCAGTGAAATCAACGTGTACTGTCGTTGTGCTGGTGTGAAATCAACGTGTACGATCGTTGTGCTGATGTGAAATCAACGTGTACGGTCGTTGTGCTGATGTGAAATCAACGTGTACGGTCGTTGTGCTGATGCACAATAATCCTTATCTAGTCCTACCAACCAGCGGATCCTGGTAGATAAAGGTGATCGGGTGGTCATAATCGCCACGGTGACCAGAAATACCAGCCTTGGACTGGTCGTGTTTGCTACTGGAATCGTCGTACCCATGGCTGTGCTCACACCATCAACCACCTGTTTAGCTCGAACGGTTTAAAAGTTCTGAGTGATAATACTGACTGAGGCGTAAACCTCACTCACTCACTCTAACACGTATCGACAGTTCAAGTGTTGTTTCTCACCAGTTCAAATCCCGTTAAGGGTGGTGGGGTAGTCTAGTGGTTAAAGTGTTCGCTCGGGTTCGATTCCCAACAATGTTTACAATGTGGGTACAATGTGTGAAGATTATTTCTGGCGTCCCCCGCCGTGATATTGCTGGAATATTGCTAAAAGCGGTGTAAAACAATACTCACTCACTTACTCAAATCCCGTTAACAAAAAAATGGTAATCGTATGAATACAGGGTGACTCCGTTCCCTCCCACATCAAGCTGACACGTCGAATATGTAGCGGCGTAAAACCTAACTCACTCACTCCTCCCATATCCAGCTGACACGCGAGATATAGCTGAAATACTGTTCTATGCGGCGTTAAACCCAACTCACTCACTCACTCCTCCCATATCAAGCTGACACGTCGAGATATAGCTGAAACACTGTTCACGGCGGCGTTAAACCAAACTCACTCACTCACTCCTCCCACATCAAGCTGAAACCTCGAGATAGTGGTTAAATACTGTTCTTTGCGCCGATAAGTCAAATGTGCTCACTCACTCCTTCCACATCGAGCTGACACGTCGACATAGAGCTGAAATACTGTTCTTTGCGCCGATAGATCTAACTCACTCACTCCTCCAATATCAAGCTAACACGTCGAGGTATAGCTCAAATACTATTCATTGCGGCGTTAAACCCAACTCACCCACTCAAATATCGCCAGATTCGTTTTTCTCATGACCTTGACGTAATAAGAAAGGTTCAACTAATACATTAAAACTACTATTATCACTAAACCGAAATTGAATTCTATGCCAACTAAACCTTTCGTTAAATCTGATCATTTGTTCCCGCTGATCCTGGAAACATGAATGAAACTGTAAATCTCAATGGAGCACATCTGCTGTATTGTTGGAACCACTCATAAAATGTTTCCACTGCGTGACTTTCAATACAGGGCGATGGGGGACAGGCGAGAGTTGCAGAGCCCCCGGAACGAGGGTCTCTCCTTGTATCAGTGCCGTCACCCCCTCCACGGGTAGACCACCAACATGAGTATAGTAAAGATATCGTGTATCTCCATCAACACAAGCGTGTGCTCGCGGTACATAGGATGAACTACGCTCCCCCTAGACGTCATTGTGTCCTTCTCAAACACAGAGCTCTCTGTTAGAACTTGCGGGCTTTATATATAAACTAGTCGTTGTACAAATTAAGTTTTTTGATGCGTTTATGAATGATTATTACTGCCACGACGATTTGCATCTGATCGTAAGAATGAAGTCTATTGTTAAGTGGGAGGAGATTGAATTCGGTATGAAATACCCAGGACAACACTAGGCTTTCTTCTTTCCATGCACCGTACCCCAGAACAACGATTCTCTTTATAGTCACCTTCAAGGTGAATGATAAAATTGCATACATTGACTCCTTACACAGGTACACCCTGTTGTAGAGCTCTGGGAGATTTAAATGATGATATTATCTTCTCAAACGACCCATCTATTTTCCTTTCAACTCTTCACGGTAAGGTAGATGAATTCAGCGCGTATGTTAATTTAGGTCGTTTGCATACTGAATGTTTTGATTATCATATACGGACACAGTTTACATCAGCGATTGAGTATCGTACACTGCTGTCGAAATGATGACAGGATGGTGCTCCTGATGTAACTGAGAACAGTTTGTCCACTAGTCAGTACGAGAGTCGGCCATCATTACTCAATGTTAGGACTGGTCGCTGCTTTGGATAACGACACATACTGACACGACAGTATGAAATAGAGGAGGGCCGAGTAAGTTTTGATGTAGTATGTGTTTCGTTATTCTAAAGCTGGTACAACTCCCAGTCACCGACGGCTCAAATGGCTGTTGGTTGGCGCCATGCGTCTGTTTTTATGTTCATCATTATGAAGACTAGCATATTACGTGGTGTAGAATAAGCAAGGGCACTTATGACTGCGTGTGTTTTATCTGTCGCTGCTATGCGGGAAGAAGCCACGTCGATGTTATTGTTACTATTATGCCTCTCAGTTGAACGTTTGTTTGTTTGTTGTTTAACGTCGAACTTAGTAGTATTCCAGCTACATGACGGCGGTTTGTAAATCATCGAGCCTGGACCAGACAATCCAGTGATTGACATCACGAGCATCCATCCACTCAATTGGGATACGATGACATGCATCAACCAAGTCAGCGAGCCTGACCAGGCGATATCGGTTTGTCGCCTCTTACGACAACGATAGACGCCTTTTACGGCAAGCATGGGTAACGGAAGACCTATTCTAACAAGGATCTTCACAGGTGCCTAATTCGGTCACCTCTAACGACCAGAAATGGGGGGCTGGGGACACATTCTACCCCGCGTCCCCAAGACACCCCAATGTAGTAATGTATGTGGATCTGGTTCACTGAATCTAGGGGTGGTGTACTTGTTTAACCATGGGGTCCATTTCGGCGCGGCTTGAATAGCCCCCGCCAGGGCACCTAGCTTTTGAAGGTGTTCAATGCGCTGTCATAACGTCACAAAGAGCATAACGTCTCATCACTATTCTCGCGTGGCTTTGATAGTGTACGTGAATACATGTGACGTTTACGAGAGCTGTTTACTGCAGTATGTGGTGTATGTTTTTCCATGTGATCTGCGACTGCGGCACATCAGAGACGCTACATAGACTGGTGCTTACAGAATCACGCGACACCATTCCATTTGCGCAGACGCATATGGCTGAGACAGGTACAGCACGTGGGTTATGCCGTAACACGTGCTAAGAGCTCCCTGCAGCGACAATAGAGGCGTCTTTGTTGTGTACAGTGTTGACAGGCTTTGGACGGTTTTATTGGTTTCGACGAGAACACCGCTACATAACCGTTCCACCACCAAGCACATACCATGTATCTTATCATCCTATGTGTCAGGGGCAGTGAGGTAACCCAGTCCAATTGTCATACAAATTACTGAAGTTAGACTGATTGACGAATCGTTAAAACTAAAGAAACCAATTGTATAGAATTGTAAAATTTCATTGCAAAAATGTTATCAATGACAAGCGGACTATTTATTAGATTTACGATTTCCTTTGAGAATGATGTTAGAGTTCAATTATATGAATACTCACATTTAACCAATGATAATCCAAATGTAAAAATCAACGATTAAAGGCTTTTGATTTTTGTAATTTTCTTCCGTTGATAATACAACGAATCTAACACTTACAGTGATAGCAACATGTTGCAAAACTTTGGGACTTCACGTATAACTGTTGTAGAGACGTCTACAGAACCGCGGCAGATGATACTGCTGCAATCCTCGCCCTCATCCCGTCCCCCGGAGCGTGGGGTCATCCGTCACTGTCTGTCGGCAGCTCGCGCGGTCTGCACGTGGCAGTGGTGGCGGGAATCCATGTACGTTATCTTCACTGTCTGTCCGATACGGGTCCATCAGCGGCCAGGTTTTCTCGGCCAGTACAGCCAGGAGCTTCCAGAAGCTAGTCTAGCTAACATGCCCCACGTGCTTGCCCCTCATCCCCCTCCCTCCCCTCCACTGTACGTGTAGCGTTCCCCCATCAGTTCCACAAAGCAGCAAGACGGACTGAGGCTGAATGAGTCTACTCCACCAGCTGCTGATGCTGAGGGACATGGGATGTAAGTGCCATACGGTTCACAACGTGTTGTAGCCTGTGCTGGCCGTCAATGTACATATTAACTCATACAGTCATTTTGATTGCAGGAAGCAACCGGAGGTTCGTCGTGGACGTCATACAGCAGTGGGCAGTGATTAAGTGACGCCATCACCGCAGCCCTGGTATAGTCAGTCAGTGGTCCCGCAGCTACAACTGGGAGACATGCCGGGAGACAGGCCTATCGAACCTCATCGTCGAACCTGTGGAATAGTGTCTTCGGACTTTCAGCCTAATACATAGGACAATCGTCGTCCGAACCGGTCACACCAACATTCGCTACTTCATATACACCACCTAGAGCTTTGGAAGAGAGTTTTCTAACTTCCAAATCTAATTGCTACTTCTGTGGATGTTTACTGTGTGTGTTTAATTTGTGTCCGTCCCCATTTGGACAAAGGGGTCATTTCTTTCCTCCATACAAAGTTTGGGCCAGGCCATCCAGTGATTACTCGTTAAGCCGTGATACAATGCCGAGGGGGACATCGCACCTGCTGTCGTTGCTACATGTTTTGACTGTGTGTACAGTGATTGTAGGAGAGCCGTTTTACCAGCACCGTGACCACAGGGACCAGCTGAAGTACAGGCAAGGGAGAACTAGGGCTGGGAATAGGGTGACGAGTCGAGATGAAGCCGAGGTGAGATCTACCTTACTTACCTTCCACACTACAGTAAACTACGTTTATAACGAACACGCTTATAACGAATTGACGGATATAACGAACTTATTTTTTTGTCCCGACCATTTGCTGTACATATGCTGTATATGCTTATAACGAACTACGGTTATAACGAACTAAAATTAGTTGTCCCTTTGAGTTCGTTATAACCGTAGTTTACTGTATCTATTTTAGAGTTATCTATTTTACTTACTTAAATTACAGTTAGCAATATACTTTTACGTACCTTACAAGTTATAGGTGGAAATATATTTTGCTCACTTACAAGCTAAAAGTAGAAATCTATTTTACTTACCTTACAAGTTAAGGTAGAAATCTACTTTATTATATGGTTACTTTACACGTTATAGGTAAAGATCTACGCTACAGTTTTTAGATATATATCAATTGTAATTATACGTTGAAATTGTACTTAAAGGAAAGTTCCAGGTGGAAATATATTTTACTTACCTTACAAGTTATAGGTAGAAATCTACTTGACATACTTTAGAAGGTATAGGTAGAAATTTATGTTGCAAGTTGTAGATAGAAATCAACTATATTTGATTTTTACGTTGTGGATAGAAATTACTTTACTAACGTTATAATTAAATTTATACATAGAGATATACTATACGTACTTTACATTTGATAGGTAGAAATCTACTTTACTTTAAAATGTTGGAGATCAACTTTCATTTCTAACAGTACTATGTAGAGAGCTACTTGTCTTTAGTTACCCTACGCGCTATATTTAGAGATCTTGAGATGAACTTTTCTTACCTTGCAGACAGATATATATTTCTACTCAGCTTACAAATTACAATCCTGGTAGCGATTTCCTTTACTTTCCGTACGCAATTTATGTAGATATGTTGAAGGCTTCCTTACGTACTTTACTCGACAAGGTTTGGTTATCGAAATCTAGCTTACATCACTAAAACAATAAGGATATGTATACCATTACCTACCGTACGTCTCCGCCTCGACAGGGTCGCCTTCATTGTCCTACTAACGCTATAAGCTTATGTTTCAAGATGTACCGTACTTGCCCAACACGTTTCAGAATGATGTGACGATATCTATTTCACCTTCCCTACTTAAGTTGGACGCTCAGTGTTGCCATCTCAGTACACCGGTTACACGAATGGGGTAGATGAGTAGATATAACCTGATTAATTAAGTAGATGTGTAGAGATCTACCTTTTATACGTTAGGTTACTCAGTAGACATCTACCTTATATAAGTCAAGTAGAAAGGTAGAGATCTACCTGTTCCTTAAAAAGTCATTTGGTTGGGTACAGAAATCTACCTTATCTATGTCTAGTATTTTATCTTTATATACAGTAAACTACGGTTATAACGAACACGCTTATAACGAACTGACGGATATAACGAACTTACTTTTTTGGTCCCGACTATTTGCTGTAGTTATGCTGTATATATGCTTATAACGAACTACGGTTATAACGAACTAAAATTAGTAGTCCCTTTGAGTTCGTTATAACCGTACTTTACTGTAAATCATTTGGATGGTAGTCAGAAAGATGGTACAGACCTTCATTACATAAGTTTCGATGAGAACTTCTATGCACCTCGCTTACACTGGATACCGTTGTTTCATATGTGCCATGTACACATTAAAAAAACATGAAAACGTTAACATCCAAACTCACCTTCTGAATACACAAACTGAATTGTCATTAGTATTTGGTTACAGTAACAATAAGCATCGTACAAAGTCTAGCACATATACCTTACCTGTAGTAAAGCACATATACCTTACCCGTTGTAAAGCACACCTTACCTGTAGTATAGCACATACATCTTACATGCAGTGTCACATACAGCTTGTCTCTATAGTATACTACTCAAAAGAAGTTAAGGATTTCCTGATTCTTTCATATTACTATAGTTAATCTCTCATGTCATGATGGATTTACTTTACCATTATGAAAGAATCTGGTGATCCTTAACTTCTTTTGAGTAGTATATAACATACACCTTCTTTACTCCAGTGTGACACTTCGAGATTATCTCCAATAGGTCTTCCTACAACGTCGGGGGTATCTTTAGTTTAAGCTTACAGCCATATAAGACGTTAGAGCCTACCTGTAATGTAACTCAGAGAACATGCCTTGAAGATAATAAGGAACTGCTATATACTGTACAAGTCTTATATGATATATTGGTTTTTAAGCAGAACAGAATTCTGGCCTGTTTCTGTATAACGTATAGACTTTTCATATAGATCATATAGAATGATAGAACTAAAGTTCAGTATAACCTATAGGCTTCCCTAAAGTAGACCATACAGAGGAATGAAACTAAATTCGGAATATCCTATAGACCTTACAGACATAGATCGTATAGAATAATATAGCAAAACTTCAGTATATCACAAAGCTTTCCTGGTGTAGACCATATTGAGTAATGAAACAAAACTTTAGTGTAAGATAAAGTACTTATCTGAAGTGGATCATATGATACAATTAGGCTATACATGTACTTCAATATATCATAATGCTTATCTGATGTGGATCATATAATACAATTAGGCTATACATGTACTTCAATATAATATAATGCTTATCTGAAGTAGATCATATAGAATAATAGAACTAAATTTCAAGGATCGTATAGACATTCCACAAGTACACCTTATAGAGTAAAAGAACTTTCCAACTCTGTATAAATGTACAAGGCTAAACTACATATATAAAACACACGTGCAGCCTATCCGGGGGAAACTATGTAGACAACAACCCTTCCCCATAATGTATGTAGACACGTGCACTATAGTATCCTGCATTTTAAACATTCTTACGTAAACCACAAAATGTATTGTATAACCAACACTCGTACAGCATCGGTGTCAGCACTTGATCTACACGGGAGAAGGTTCTTTTTATCCAAAGCTTCTAGAGAAGTTACTTTCCAAAGCTTCTGCAAATCTATGGGGAAATGGCAATTTGTGTTACAGTGTTGTCCCTTTCTTAATATTTGCCAACACGACTTGGAGCAGCTTCCCCTTCCAGTTCGCTACACAGCTCTCGATGGTGATGACTCATTGACTAGACCCCCATGAATAGTCTACGATCGATTGATGTGGAAGGACCATTTGTAGCCGTTTTCAGAATGTCAGAGTAGCGTGAGATGTATGTTGCGTCACCGCGTGTAAAAAACGGAGCCCTAGATGTATCCTTGTTCGTATGTTTATCACCATTCAAACACAAGTTGGCTATTTGTCATCAAGGAAAGTTAGGTGTTCCTTGAGCCGACTCTGCGAGACGGTACCATGTTGATTGACGCTCTGTGATAATGTTGACTGTGCAAATCTTTCCTGAACGGACATCTAGTAAGCCTCGCCATGTACGTACACACAGATAGCGGTTGTTATTCCAGTGTTCCTAGATGTCAATACACGAGTGCACGTGATTCATAATGACGGTTTGTTTAATAAACACACTGAACACGGGTCATGCAGTTTTATGTGTCAAAACATGACCAGATATAGAGCCCCATCACTACAAGGATAGATATCAAAATTTACGTTGAAATAACACCTCCGTCAGTTTCCTGCTGCTAGACTGAATGCCTGTATATACATCTTCAGGCGTCATCAATATCAAATGAACTATTTCTTACGTGCGTTCTTTTCATCCTTTAAATTAATCAACCTTTACACGTTTTGTTTGAAATAGCCCGAATGTTCAAAACCGTGGATACAATTTGGATATGTTTTTGTATACTGCGTTTGAATGGGAAATGTCTTACATCTTCAACATATGCACTTGATGTGTAGTTTCCGAATGAGTCTTCTACACATTGAATTGGTAAAAAATCACATTATACCTCTGAGTAAATATTTAGATATGTTCTTATATGTTTATTACAGATCGTGTTCATACGCTTGTGTAGTGTTGATTCCTTGTCATCTGGGACATATCAAATTTGTATAACACCCTGCCACTCTGCGATGACGTCATCGGGGTAGAATATCTTGTATGTGTTACACTTCTCGGGCAAGAATTCGATGCACATTTTCCGTGCTAGCAGTCGCGTTCAGCATCCATGGCTCCAGTTTACAAGAGGACTTTGTACGTTAGATCTGGAGCAAGCACTGCAGTGTAGTTTCTCCACAGCATCAGATACAGGAACGTTTGAGGGTCAGTGAGTGAAGGATGCAAGGCTGCTGATGCTACGGCTGCACTAGTAATAGACACAGGGCTGAATAACACGGGAAACTCGGTTTATATCTGTACTCGTCAGAACACATCACAGCAGAGCCACATTTGCTCTATATACGCATGCCCCAGGTTCGGAAATGCCAGTCAGAATTTGTGGTATTTTAAGTGATACTTTACAGTGTTGAGCATGACATGATACTTTTTAAATTTCTTAATTAAAATGTAGAAAATTACACATTTTCAAGTATGCTGAGTGTATGCCTGTAATCTACGGTATGCCGGAGACACGCGTGAATTATTAATGGTACTACACCTACATATACTTATTTGGGATATGATTATGAATCATACATAAATATGTATGATATGAGGTGTGTTTTGACGGAACACATATGTTGTATTTGTTGTTCTCGGAACATGAGTTTTATTTCGAGCTGAAGGTGATGTTGGGGTATAAGTGGATATCGGGATTCCCTCTCCCAATCCCGATTCCGACGCTCGTGTCTCATGGAGGACATATGTCGAGGAAGCAGTATAGTCGAGGAAGTAGCATCTCCAATAGTACCATGCAAATAAACAGCTTGATTGACTTGGTGTTCATCCCCTATATGTGGCTTCGTATAGCGATCGGCTTGTTTACAGAACATGCAGACCATAGATTGACGTCGGTCGCGGCACGTTCTCCGAACTAATAAAGTACGGTGTCTAGTGCCCCCAATGAAGACAGCTTTGTCCATACGATTGTAAACTGATAAAGTGCAAAATGCTAACACTTGTGTGTATTGCGCG